ATGGTTCCCACTGGAAACAACTGATGGATGCTTTCACACCCAACTGGTCAACTGGATAGAGTTTCTCGCGCATTCGCACGATTTCCAAGTTCATGTAGGTACCCTGAAACAAAGGAAAATGAGAACGGAAGAGCACACATAGAAAGAATGGTAAAATACTGGAAGACATTCACAAAGCGAATAAAAATGAAATCCCCTGCCATCCAATAAAAAATTGATATGGGTGCATTAAATTGCACATATGCAAATTTTTAACAGCAATCCGTTTCATGGACATTCATTAACTTGAAGTTATAATTCTTGCATTGGTTAAGCATTATTAACCGGACTGATGGAAAAATACTGCATACTGCTGATGTAACATGGTACGCTTTTTTAGGGAATGAATTTATCTTTATTGACGGGTGTGTTTGAAGGTATCCTAATGGCAAATGCACTACACTAAAGGATCACAAAGTGAGAGGGCAAACGGTTTTATAGCCGGGTTGATGAGTCGCGGACACCTAACCTATTTTGGGGATCCTGAGAGGCATACAAACTGGATTCACAACATCTTGCTCCAGATGGTCAACAGCTTGATTAGACGATACAGAATATGAGCACTCTAATCATGTGAACCACGCCCGAAAAATGTATAACTCAATGAACTGGAAAGCGATCACCAACGGATAGCGTTTTTTTTGCACCCCGCCCCGCGGACCCGTAAGTCAGGCTCTGGTAAACACAATGTGAATCCTAAACGAATTTCATCTTACTTGGTTTGAGTTGTTTCCTCACACAGAAAACGGAATGAGTTCGTCAATAGAAAGATATTGTACCCTGATTTGTTTGAAATACCGTTTATGGTAAGTAGAAACCAATGTTTTTCATAATGGTCGGAGAATACAGCGTAATTCCGCCGTGTTCCCTTAAGGTTAGAGTGTAAAGCAGACTGCACTGACAACCTTAGGAAGAAAGTGCTATTCTTGTGACTAAAGTGATATGTGCTTGCAAAGGATCAGTTTCCCTCAATTTTTGGATTCCGAGTCTTTAACACAGAATAGTTTGTGTCCCAAGGGTCAGTCACCCCGTTGCGAATATCTGGGTTTCTGTGGTGTATCTACGAAGCCTACGTTCGTGTTAAGAAACGGAGACGTGATCAGTCAGAGTGAATGGAAATGCGATTACATAAAACATTTTTCACTACATACTGTTTGCCGGGAGCAATGCCAGTTGTGTTTGGTCTTTTTTACATCAAATTTGGTTTGTCCTTTTTGTCACAGATTTTGTAGACGGTTGAATAAAGATATCCACAAATAACTCGGTCATGAAATCCTAAGAATATCACCTGCTTCAACTAGGAAAACCCGGCAGGATTGCGGACGCAAACCACAAGTGAAATGATTTTTACTTATTTTAAAGATTCTTGTACCACCATTTGTTTAGCAGTCTCGAAAATCACTGGTGAAATATATTCATAAATAATTTTAGGTTCAGATGAGAAAAAAATCAGACGGTGTGAAATGCCGTGGACTAAAACTGAGTATTTCTTTTTGCACTCACGAGAGAAATCAACACAGTGAGGTTATGAAATTTACGGACAAGATTAACCGAGGCAAATTTGTAAACCGAAACCACAGAAGCACCTCATCAGAGTATTTGTGAATGCGGCTAATATAGCATCAGTGGTTTACTGCTCACCATATATTTGACTTGCTTGTCGTTGTCTACCTTCTTCTTTGCGCACCGTAACACTTGCACAGCCAGAAAATCACCCTGTTCGTGCCACGTGAGACAAATTTCAGCAACTGAGAACAGATTTTTCGTACATATCTCCTGTCGACTCGGAATTTCCAAAAGCACAACTCTGTGGAAAGAACAAAAGGATTTTTTATTGAAGTAAAAGGTTGTCGACTGCATTTTATTTTGAGATAAAACAGCCCAGTTACCTGGCAAGTGGGAGTGTTGCACAGGTTTCATAGGGATAAATACCTCTCCATGATGAACACCATGGCCGCGAGGAACTAAATCGATAAAATCTATGGCCTAAGCTCTGAGATCCGAAGAGGCGAACTACCTGAGACCTTTATAGGACAGGCACTGTACTAAGTAGGGTGCCAGTTAGGCCGTACTTCTAAAATGTCCATAAGAATTGTCCCAGCTCTAGGACATAAAATGAAGATCGAAATAAATGTCTTAATAATAAATGTCTTTTTAGTTCCTTTTCTATTTATTGAATATACAAATGTACAGTCAACTTTCAGGAAGAGGGCTGCGGCCATAAAAAGGTTACCTGGGGAAAATACAAATACAGGGAAGACGGGCGGCGGTGAAGCGGTTTGAACCCGGGACACCCAGGTCACTAGTTGGTGGCCTAACCACTTGGCCACTTGGTTGTGGATAACACAGGCTACAATCATCACAGACCACGGTGGTGGCACTCGGACCTGTCGTCTTACATATCAACAAATGAGACAAAGCAGACTGGTAAATGCTGATTAGCACAATAGTATTCTTCCCCAATTAGGAAATTCCGGCTGTTTAATCCATAAGGGGTAGCTCTATAATTGAGCGATTTATCCTCCGGGAGCCGGTTACACTGGATACGGTTCCAAATCTTACCTTGCCGGGGTGTTGTCTGATTCAGGAACCCAATATGCCAGTATATTCTCGGTTGGGGACCAAGAGAAATCCCGAATGTTTCCACCGATCCGCTTCTTGTCTAACAGGCGAAATGTTTCGGTTTCATAGATCACCACATAGCCATCACGCAAACAGGCGAAGTATGCATCGTTGTAGGACCATTTGAATGCAGGATAGGATTCAACAGGAACCGTGAATTCTCGCCGACTAACGCAACGCCGCACATCCCATATTGTCACATCTGCCATCGGACGATCTTGCTCTTCGGGATTCACGCTTGCCTGTGCACTTGGGCTGAGTGATACCATGAAACTGCAGAGGCCAAATGAATAAAAAAAGTAAAGTTCATGAACTTAGCACACTGTCAGAGCAGCAAAGTTCATTTTAGTCTCACTTTCAGTTTTTACAACCATTAACCATACACCTTCGTGCGCCGGTTTTGGTTGCCCATTTGGGACAGGATGAAGATTAGAACATTGAGCACAAATTCAGGCGGAAAATAGCGAATTTATATAGACTGATGTTAAGAGAACAATAAGTAGATGCATGAGCACCACTGTTTGCGGCACCCAGCAAAGTTCATTTGGTTGTTGAAATAATGAATGTAAGCTAGAACTATTGGTTGTGCTTCAGTGGGCGAGAGATGATACGCCACAAGCAGCTTCCTGGTCTACAAAACGGTGACACAATTATTATAGATAGGGTCAATCGAAAATGATAAACCGAAGCAAATGTCCCATTAATTAGTACAATGACCGTCACAATAGATGTGCAGTCCAAATTGCAGCAGTATTCATGGATCACAAATAATCAAACACAAGGATTCATTAACTGAATAAACGATAAGTAAAAGGAAAATAAACCGATTTGTTGATGCTTTAAAAAAAACATTTCTTTCATATGAAAGTGTGCATTACCGTTCCATTGGTGAAAAATCAATCATTTTCACCCCTTGGTGCGGAAAACGGCCCAGACGTTGAAACTTTTCACCAACCCAAAGGATTGCTCCTGGCTGATGCATTGTGGCTAAGTAAGTTCCCCGTGGAGACCATCGCATCCATCCGTCAGTCCATCTAGTTCGTTCAACGGCAGTAGTTGGTTCGACAGCATTATGCCAGTAGACCGAGCCAATCTCGCCATCATTGTAAACCACTGCGAACTGATCTCGGCATAACTCGTTTAAGAGCCAGCTTTTCAAGTTGCCCTGAAAAGGAAAGCATCACGGTTAACACAAACAATATGAACAACTTGGAAGGGAAAGCACATTAATCAAACAAAAAGGGAAGAAACTCACAAAATCTTTGTACTCTTGCTTGGGAGGCGGTTTCCATTCGGTTGGTACACTTGTCAGCCGCTCGTAATCCCCTAGTAGGTTAACTTGTAAGGTGTGACTTTTATCCAGAGGTGTGTTGTTCATGGTGCGAACTGCTTGTGATGCTGTTTTACCATTTTCAAACGTAATGAACATATAGCCCTTGGTTTGCTTTTCGTCATCCACTGGGAAATAATGGTCACTGATGGGCCCAATTTTGGCGAACTTCTCCAGCAAGAACTTTTTCAATAGATCGAATTTGGAAGGGCCAACAATGGGGCAGCCATCAACAATGATAGTTGAGCCAAGGTGATCCTCTGGAGTCGGTTTCGCCGCTAAAAGATCCTGTATGATTTCTAGATGGAAAAATGGTAAAGTAAAAACCAGTTAGTGCGTAGATAGAATCGTGAAAAGAGGAACTCATTGAATCTAGTAGAAAAAAAATGATAACTGTAAACGAATTAGGTCAACTAAATCTATCAGGCAGAAATATATTAGTGACGAAAAATGTTATCGGGTGTCTTGTAGTTGTCCAGATTGCACAGGTGGTCATTCTTCATGGGGTCATGATGGCAGATAAGCATGGCGCTATTGGTCAGACGTAGACCATATGTATTGAGTAATATCCATTTTGAGTTCTTGCTGCTACAGTGATATGGCTGGGTGTCGCTCGTGCAGCTACTCTTTATTCTTACAACCCCAGTCTATATAGTTCTGACAAGAACCTAACCGCAAGGCAGCGGGTAAGCAGGATTAGAGGCTCACTCACTCGGATTAGTTGCCTCATCATGTTCTGTCGACTGAGACACCAATTCGAGTTAAAATCCCAACCCAGAGGACCAAGAGAATAAACTTTGCCTGACCTCTACCCTTTGATCTGCCAGGCATGAGATCTTCCTGTTCAACAAAAGCTGTCCTGTGTAGCCCGTTGGAGACAGAGGTGTAGAAGCTATCACACGACGTCAAGGTACAGCCTCATCGTGATGGGAAATCCTACCAAACGTTGCACAACGCAAATTGTTCTATTGTTGACCCAGGAAGATTGGGATCTTTTGCCTTTGTTCCATTAGAACAATAGACTTCCGAGAGATCTGATGTCTCAGACGAACTTTGAGCTCAGCTTTGCTAGCGAAGTTTGGTGTCAAAGGCATTGCACACTATGAATACTACAACTAGCAGGATTGCTTCTAAAGCGCACTCTCACTCAGTAACATTCGCGGCTTGCGCCACAATACTGATTCTGTACAGCAATTTTTTCAGTCCATTTCCCCTATTCCTCTATTTTTATCCGAAACACAACTTTCTTCTTCTACAGACACCAGTTATCCTCAGCTTTTCAATTATTCTGTTCACAGATCATTCATCTCCACAGCCGGTATTTGTGCTTTTATTCATCATCCAATTGCTTCTTCTCCGCTCTCCCACTTCGGTTCCCTTCTTTTAATCATTATTTTTACACTGTATACCGTTCCCCAAAGGAAAGTGACTTTTCACTCTTTGTTATTTTATAAGCAAACATTGATGGCATTGTTGAAACAGACCTCAAGGCTCAGTTCACAATTTTGGGTGATTTAAACGTCCATAACAGGGATTGGTCCATACACTCTTCAGGGACATTACCCCTTGGAAGAGAAACAGAATCATTTGCTCCATTAAACAACCTTCACGAACTGGTTGATTCCCCGACCGTGCTGACGACCATGCTCATGTCCTCGATCTTAGGTGGTGGTGGCGCAGTGGTTTAGTCGCTGTCACCGGCGTGTTTTGGACCCTGTGGTCCGAAGTTCGAGCCCCGCCACCGCCATCCGACTTTGGNGGTGGTAGGCAGCTCTGATGTCGTCCGGTTCAATACCACGCCTAACCTATCGGGGCCTTATGTGGTTCGCCACTCCAAGTTTCGGGGCTTAGGTTGCCGATTTCAACCACTGAACACCAGGTCCTCGTGACTATGGGGTTTACCCCGTCTGCTGTTCATCACACCTAGGTGTGTAATAAAAAATAAAAAATACAACCCCGTTGTTTTCTAATATTGCCGCAATTCCTCCGCTGAGCCCGTCGGATCACTGTCTTATTTTGCTTTCTATCCAGATTATTCATTCCACTGTTCCTCACAATTATAGACGGTCATTCTGACGTACGTTTCCGCCGATTGGTGCAGCATTCGCAACTTTCTGGCTTCATACCTGTGAAATGACTGTTGCTTCTCCGCCGAAGTCTCCATATCGGCTTCGAAATTTTCTTCGCCAAAGCATGCACCCATTTATTTCTCATTTCACTAAACCCGGCAAGCCTCTTTCTCCAGAATGATTTGACTACGCCTATTATCACGCTATTCATGAAAAAGTCAAAGCTGAAATACCCTTTTCGCTTAGCTGCGTTCAATGTTCGCACGCTCTATCAGATTGGCCAACAAGCTGCATTGGCTAGAACCCTTGAAACTTTCAATTTAGATGTAAGTTGTGTCTCCGAAACACGCATACAAGACCCCACCTCCATTATCTCTCTGCGTTCTCCTGAACCAACCTCAACCTCACGCTTCACCCTTCGTGTGTCAGGCGATTCGGCATCCGAAGCTTGCGGTGTTGCTGGTGTCGGGAGTGCGCTAACTGCCAAGGCTGAGCGTTCGCTTCTTGACTGGATTCCAGTCAGTAGCCGATTGTGTTGTACGACTTCACGGTTCAGTTCGAGTCAACAGCTACAGAACGAAGCGTCGATGCTTATTCGGCGTATCGGCGTATGCACCGACCGATTACAGTATATCTGAAATCAAGGATAAATTCTACAAGGATCTTTCTCAACTACTCCAAAGTGCTCGATCAACGGACGTCGTAGTAGTCGCCGGAGACTTCAATGCTCAAGTGGGATCCCTGGACGAATCAGAAAGGCTTCTTGGCGGACCACATGCAATCCCAGCCAACCGGACGAACAACAAAGATCGCCTACTTCAACTCTGCGCGGACCACGGATTGTTCCTGTCAAACACGAACTTCTCGCACAAGAAACGCTGCGGCTATTGGTAATAGTCGTAACCTTTTCCATCTAATTAGGAATACGGGTCCTAGGAAAATAGGCGTGAGGTAATTAAGGAATCCGATGGCACACTNTCACGATCAGCAACGCCGTCTTGACCGTTGGGCTGAACATTTCAAGGCTGTTCAACCGGTCCCCATCGGCATCTTATCTTTTACTCTTCTCCTCGACTGGACAAATACTCCCAGTTGGTGCTAGTCCTCCATCTGAAATGGAGGTTTCTTGGGAAATAAGGTATCTCAAAAGGCATAAGGCCTCTGGCCCAGATGGGCTGTTCCCGTCAGCGTTTAAGGATGGAGACTCTGCGTTAGTCTTGGAGTTGACAAAACTCCTGGGTTCAATATG